ACTCGTTCTGCAACTGATAGTGTCTTTGCTGAAGACTCTCCTTCCGGATCAGCTCATCGGCCGACGTATCGGATGTCAAATAGTTATTCATTTCATTTGATTTTGTTTTCAATTGTTTTTTGATTTTGTTATCAAATGTGTTGTCAAACAGACAACAGCTGTCGTGTCGTTCAGACCTTACGTCCGGTAATAAACAATGTATGCATTCATACGAACTACAGTCAACTCCCGTTTGGCATTTGATTTAGTAATACCGGTAAAGTATAGTTCTATTCTAGAAGTAGCAAGCACATTCTCGTGTTTTAGATTATGTGTATTTTAAATTATATATTATATAAGAATATACTATAACTAGTATATTATATCGATTTTCACTTATAGTGAATTACTTCTCAACTTTAAGCTTAAAGTAGTTTAAACAAGATAAATGATGCCATTATTTTGACTTAAGCTTGTTTTAAAAAACTCGTTAGATTTTGATGATGATACTTTAATAGACTTTTTTTTATGAATTGACAATAAAGAATTTGTAGTTTCATTGACATAAATACTTAGCAAAGAATTTGAACGCTTGTCGCGAATGGCATTGAAATGTATGAAACAACGATGACATCGTATAACAGGTAAGAATGGCCACGAAGTATACGCTGAATATTAGTTTGTCGGTTGAATCAAACTTTTTGAACGAATTGCAGGCCATTGTATGGATGAATAGTATGGCAAACAATAGGAAACCCATGATATGAGTGCTAATGTTTCCACTTTCGTTGTGGAGACGAAACACTGATTGGAGGCATACTTTGAACGATTGGTTTGGCGATCGATAGCTGTTAAGTATGAAATCGTTGTGTCCGTACCATTTGGGCAGCGATTTGACGTTTATTAGACTCATTACTGGGTGTTATCCGCTAAATACCACCAAAAAATGCTTATCATTTATTCAGTCAATGAATTCAAAAAATACAATAATATGCAACAATAAAAATTGTGCCCTTCATATCATGCATGCAATTTATTATATTATTGATCACTTTGTTTGCCATTTGAATTTTTATCTAAGTTTTTTGTTCATTTGTTTTAAACATCAAATGTTACATTTATAATCTTATAATTACCAGTATATAAGATGTTATGGACTTTTATAAATTATAATGATCATTTTTACGACTTGTTATTTAAGAAACTATGTTAATGTAGTTAATTATTTATGAATAGTTTTTCTTTGCAAATAAAACTATACTTCATTTAGTAATTATTTTATGATAAAATACTAACAATAATTAAATAAATTCAAGTTAAACACACAAATAAACATTAAAATAGTCTTTATTTTGAATAAAACTTAATGACATTTTAACGTGAAATTTTGTTTTGAAAAATACAAACAGTTTAAGTGTCCGAAAACAAGAGTTTTATTTTCTTATTAAAACTAACAATAAATTAATTTATAATTTAAGGCTTTTGAGGTAATTATTAAAGGCTCACACATTTAGGACTTAATAATATATTAATCAATTCTGTGTTCAGTACTAAATCATAAACAGTTGTTATTCTGGTTATACAATACAATTGCTATTAAAACATACGATTTAATAGTTTATGATTCAAATAAATAATATAACAAGAGATCAATCGGTGGTAAGAAAAGTCAAATCGTTGTTTTGATGCATTCGCTGATTGAGTCATATACAATACAATTGCTATTAAAACATACGATTTAATAGTTTATGATTCAAATAAATAATATAACAAGAGATCAATCGGTGGTAAGAAAAGTCAAATCGTTGTTTTGATGCATTCGCTGATTGAGTCGGGCCTCAGCCATGAGAGACAAGCTGTGAAAGTACATCAGACCCGCGACAATGACCAGAGTGTGGAAAATCTGGTGCGAGTGGAACCACAGGTCAAACTTGCCCGGACACAGACGCTCCGGGATCTTAAACATATAGCATAGGGCGCCGATTATATACAGAGTGCCCATCAGTATCAGCAACAGAATCGACTTGAAAGCCAGCGGAGCGGCCGTCGGGCCAAACATATACAGCTGAAGGTAGAGATGAAAGCACGGGAATATAGCTATACATTTGGGACAGTAATCACTATTGTTAGCACATGTGAGACAGTATTTGAAAATTGATAAGCAATTTACCCGAACATCCATTGAGTAGGAAAACACAGGAACGGATTTTCCTCAGCTCTGGTTCACTGAATTTGTCGAAAAGCGATAACACAAAGCATACCATACATAGGAATATCGTTGAAGTGAGGTATAGATTGCGTTGAGTCGGCAGATAGTAGAAGCCGTAGTAAATCCAGGGCACAAACGATGCGGCGATCAGCAAGGTGATCCCACAGTAGTCTAGTCTATGGGGTAAACAGTGTTTATAACAACTATATTATCATAGATAGCAATGAATTACAGTATATTTTATACAACAAAAGGTCAATACTTAGCAAAGAGTTTGAGCACTCGCCGGGAATGGCATCGGAATGTATGGAAAAGTGTCGATAATAACAGACATATAATTATACCGAAGAAGAAGGCGCTGAATATCAGTTTATCGATGAGCGAGAAGTTCTGATAGACATTACAACTCATGGATCGGTACCACAAGAACGCGAAGAATAGGGCGCCAATCAAATGGCTGAAGATATTTCCCGATTCGTTGTGGAAATTCAAGACCGAAGATTTGATACAGTATTTAAAGCACGGCTTCGGCGGCCGAAAGCCATGGCGTATGAATTTATTGTCTCCATACCAGTCCGGCACAGACGTCACGTCCAACAGTTTCATTACAATCACAACGATTTGTTTGCAAACTCAATGATTACGACAATAACTGAATTGAATTGAACCGTCGAGAGAGTAAGGGAAACACAAATTAGGCTACAAATTGTGTATAAATATTCGGGAAATGATTCTAACACTTAATTGTGGGATTAAATTACTGTAATGTCATAATTCTGACATCTCTTATAACAGAATATTCTGTTGAATAGCTTTCAACTGATGGTATCGTAAGAAGAGAAGGAGAAGTAGGAAATCGTTTGTATCGACGATAGAGTAGTGAATGAAAACAATTTTTTATATTCAAATGTGTTGTCGTATTGTTTAATAGCGCGCAGAGAAGAGGCTCCACGAGTCTGACCGGGAATGGCATCCAATAGTTGACGTCTTATCGCACAGAATAATAATCATATGAAGAGAAGGAAATATTAGTAATATTACATATAATAGATGTGAATAAATATATTTTTATATATGACTTTTATTATATATTTGTGATCTAATAATGAATTGGATGTCTTAATACTGTATACACCATGTCATTGATAGAGCGAAAGCATTGCACAGAATATGAAAACAAATACATTACATATAATATCTATATATCCCTGACTTTTTATACTTGAAATATAATTTTTCACTGAATTCGCATCGGATTATTGATCGGCGCCACAAACATAACGCCTGGTATGCATTGAGTACTGTATATATAAGTTTGGTTATATTGTTAGTGAAAACCAGAGCAAAGCACTGCACTATTCTGGGTATAAATTCGTGGCACAGAATAACACTCGATAATAGTGTCTATGCCATAGACTCTATGCCAGAGACTCAATGGGTTTTTGTTTTGGATATACATTGGGAGTGAGTTTATGTGTTAGAGAAAGCCTATGGTTTTTGTGAATAATTTAATAGATTGGTTGAGAGGTATAGATATATAGATAGAAATACACACAACTTGATAATCATTACTATAATTCATTAAATATTGATTTGATGGCCTTTTGCCATAAAAACAATGTATGCATTGAATATATCGCCTGAATGTGAAGGACAGGCACCACAAGAAGCAAACATTATTGAGTGAATTGAATCGGCTTTTCATCGGATAAGAGATTGATTAATACATTGCACATAAAATTCTGACACTAATACACACTTATATAAATCACTGGGTTTTTTGAGTATTTATGGTAACATTTTGTCAGTTTATTTTAAGCGTCAAAAATATGTGGGTTAAAATTTTTCATCCATTTCTCACTTTATGATAGGGTTTGAAAACATCATTTAAATATCAAACACTACTTCTTAGTCAATATTGTTATTGATGGACAAAACCGTTTGCCATTACATGAGGCTATATATCATTCACGCATTTCATATCTGATGCAATAATATATACAGAATATTCTTTACGCACAGAATATTTTTTCGCCTAATAATAGCTTTGATTTTCAATTCCCTATAAATATATTTATAATGCATTTTTTGATGATTTGTCGGAATTTAATACTGAAAACTATTAACTCCTATATAATAGTTTATATCACTTTTTTCTCGCCGTATAATTCATTTCAAATATAAATTACTTTTTTCGACGACTAAAACAATTATATTTTGATAGAAATGATTGCGAAATCATATCAGATATAATGATTACAGATATTATCTTTTGGTTTTGTGCATTGAAATCCATTATTAGCCTATTTATATTAATGATCATGGTCATATCCACACAGAATATTCTGTATTTCATTCAAAACATATCAATTAGTTCTCATTCACTATAAAAACAAACAACAAAAATCGATATAACTATAAATTATCTAACAATGGAAATAATTATGCTAAAAATATGTACACTATTGGCAAATAATGAACATGTTATTGTCAATTCATAAAAAAAAGTCTATTAAAGTATCATCATCAAAATCTAACGAGTTTTTTAAAACAAGCTTAAGTCAAAATAATGGCATCATTTATCTTGTTTAAACTACTTTAAGCTTAAAGTTCAGAAGTAATTCACTATAAGTGTAAATCGATATAATATACTCGTTATAGTATATTATTATATAATATATAATTTAAAATACACATAATCTAAAACACGAGAATGTGCTTGCTACTTTTAGGATATAACGATACTTTACCGGTGGTGCCAAACGGGAGTTGACTGTAGTTTGCATTAATGCATACATTGTTTATTACCGGACGTAATGTCTGAACGACACGACAGCTGTTGTCTGTTTGACAACACATTTGATAAGAAAATCAAAAAACAATTGAAAACAAAATCAAATGAAATGAATAACTATTTGACATCCGATACGTCGGCCGATGAGCTGATCCGGAAGGAGAGTCTTCAGCAAAGACACTATCAGTTGCAGAACGAGTTGCAACAAATGGCTCAGGAGTTGCCCAAGTATTTGATGCATTCCTCCACTTGTCTGTCATGTGATAACGCGTTGTCTTTGTGTCCAATAGTCTATATCAACAGCGAATGCCATACGAATTGCTGTCCAATTTAGCCAATTGTCTGTTAGACACTTCCATCGGACAGATTGTCACCGGACTTAAGGACATCCAACACATCACCGAAAAGACACTCTTCGAGCGCCGCATGAGAGCTGTCGGCCATTTCAGAGGTATTTGCCGGACACTAACCAATCGGTGACTTGTCTTATGGTTTATGTGTATTGTCTGCCGAAGAGATGAAAGTAGAGCAGCAGAAGAAGCATCGGTTGGCACTTCAGGACAGGTCTATGACTCCCGAAATGGTCGCTCACGAGGAAAGGGTACTGTCTTTTACCATCGAGTGATCACTCAATGAATTCAATGTCTATTATATTGTATGAAATGACCAGAAACTGGACCGACATATAGACGACGAGACAAATAAAATAGATATGAAGACAATCACTGAATTGGATCAAGCGGTTAGTGTCCACCACTTGACTGAGTGTCTGAGTTAACAGTATTTTGTATACCAATCGTACGGTTAGGTCAGTGAACAACAGCTAACCCTCGAGAGGGCCGGCGTTCCCGGCTTTTACGTGACCAGTAATCCGACTGAAATCCAACTCCAGAGGTATATCTTGGACTTCATTGTGAGGACGTGTACGGATCAGACACAGCAATAGTGGTGTCTATTTTGATATTTATATAAATATTTTTGTAATTCATTTATTATTAATTAAATAATTTACAATTAATTTGTGAATAAAGTATTAATTTATAATTTATTAATTATAGGAAGCATTTATTAATTTATACCGGTATAAAGATTTAGACATTATATAAACTATTTATAAATGTTGTAGTTTTTTATTTGTTAATTTGCTATTTATAACATTTAATTAATTTGCAACAAAGTATTCCGTAATTAATTTAGTTTAAAGTTTAACAAAGTTTTGAACTTTTCTATGTGTGTGTGTGTGTGTGTGTGTGTGAGAGAGAGAGAGAGAGAGAGAGAGCTTTATGTTGAAATAATTATAATAAAAAATGCAAATAATAGCGAACGGATGGACACAAGAGATGGTATACTTATATTCACGTATGGGTTCATTGAAAGAGTGGTCCATTCCAGAGACCTATTGGTCTCAATAGTAAACCTCAAATCCCTATTTAAAGCTTACAATGAGTTTTAAAAAGTAAAAATTGAAACCATTATCGCTTTCGTTGACTTTTTGTACCGAAAAATCTGAATTTGGGCACAAATTCAGTTCAAATCGGTCTAAATTTGTGCAAAACTATGGGTTTTAAATAGAAAAGTAAATCAGGTGTCGACCAAACTGTCATACAATAGCACTTTTGGGCACAATTGGAGGCCAATCCTGGCAGCGCTCAGCCCAATGAGCTCTATATGAGTCAAACACTTAATGGACACATGAATTAACACATGATCTCAATATTAGGGCTTTAAATGGGATTAAAGAGAACGAAGAGATCGGAGAAGAAGTTTAGAAGAATGAAAAGCAAAACAAAGACACAGAAGTAGTTCGTTGTCCCATATATTAGATCCCAATAATACACACAAAGCAATCAAATACACGGCCTCTTAAATAGGCTACAAATTGGTGTTCACTTTCTTTTTATAGTGTTTTAGCGCTAAATATGTATGTATTATGACTTAGATTTATATGTAACGGAGCGGCCAACCATACCGGTGCCCACGACCTCCCAGTAACACATATACCGTAATAGTAAACTCGCCTAACATTGAGAGTCCAAATACATTGCGGTCATGTATTTTTGGTGTGCTTTACCTAAATAACACTTTTCCTATGTATTTGTGGTTCACTCCGATCTCAATCCACTTTCCCTGTCCTTACCTTTAAGTCGATTGTCCTTTAGCTGTGATTGTTGTCACACTTTAGCGGAAACTTGTGTTCAAAACTTTCTTTGCTTTCCGCCCACACTTTCACACACTCTATCATATAATCCCTTCTGTGTTATCGGTTGTGACCCATGGGTTACGCATCCCATCATTGGGAGCAGCTTTTGGTCAAATATATAGCACGAGTAAATGCGAGCAATAGTTGCGCGTAAACTCCTTTCCCCCGTATCTATCCTTTAGCCTAAATATGCATTTTGTCGAAACAGATGAAGAAATACGGCCAACAGTGAAGAGGGGATTCACACCTCAAACACAGAGACAGTCAGTCGTACACAAAGAGGGAGAGAAAGAAAGAGAGGCCACGGAGAGGGAGAGTCGGCACTGATATTGAAACCTATTTACCTGGAAATTGAATTTCGGGCACAAACTGCTCGAAAGAGAGGCAATAACTACTCTATAACTTTCACAACTCGTAGAAATGGTCTGAAACAAGTGGTGTGCCCTTCAATTGTGAGCTCATTCTGACCCTCTGTTCCTCAATACTGTCCCATTCACCTACTTTTGTCACCTACTTTGCACTCACCAGTAGACCAGCGCAACCTTCATATCCCGATACACACCGAGTGCTGTGCCGTCTATTGTATATCCCATATGTAAGGCAAGGCCAGCGCCTCACCTGCCAAAGGAGGCTAACAGTGGACTCGACTCAACCAAAGGTTAATTAACGGTAACACATCCTCCCAATGGTTACCCGCTATGACCTCCACCTCCTCTCCACTCTATTATATCACACCATTGTATACATTATGTGCCAATACTTGTGTATATGTGGTATAACTGTATTAAGTTTATCGGTTCAGTCTATTATCGCTGTCTCTCCCCATAACCTGTACTCTTGTACTCCACAAACAGATATAGATTGGATGTGCGCTAATCTAGAGTACAATATATCCATTTCAGTGTATCTTTTGTTCATTTTTATGCATGAATTAAGTCATCGCTTCAAATGAACTCAGAAAATAGTGCTGTGAATAAACTTTTTGTATATTTATATAACTGTTTTGTGCGTATTGTTTGGCCGGGAATATAAAGTATGCCAAACGCTCGTACAATCAGTTTATAAGGTCACACATCCAGTAGTATTGGAGGTACACCTGGAGTATAAGCCAGTGCTCTTACATACAGTGCTAATACACTATACAACAGGAGTCGCCCTTTACTTTATCAGATTATCTCATTTGTATCGCATCTCGTTATACAGTATATAAGTATTACATAACCATTATTTCGCATAACGACTCCGTTTGTGATGAACTGAATAAAAATGTGATCTCTTTTATGTATTATTGAACTGATTTTATTCCCTAAATCTCTCATTTCTGTGCATTATTTCCCGATTCATAAACTCCTTTGGACTCTAAATGAAGTTTTTATGTCAAGAGATATTTGTTTCGATACCTTATTTCCCCGTCTTATCTATTGATTACACAAATTTTGCTCTAATATTAGACTCGACTGAACACAACCTCTATATTTAATTCTCCATATATTCTTGTATTATACAAATTGTATCGTTTATTAAATAAGGAATTTCATTTATGAAAGAAAATTCTTAATATAATTTACAAAATTAATCAATAAATTGCTTCAGAAACACATTCTCTATATTATGAAATTTTTTTTTTGTATAATGAAATTTCTCACAAAAATCTAATATAAAATTGAGTTATTTATTGAAATTTATTTCTATTATAAAATCCAATTAATTATTAATTAAAAGGAAAAGTCAAATAAAATACAAGAGAAAAAATAATTAATGTAATGAAAGTTTGGAAATATATCTGAATTTTAAGGAATAATAAAAGCCATTAAAAGTGAGCAGAACTGGGAATTGACGTAAAGAAATAGATAAAACAAATTTGTGCAATCATTACGAAGATTAATACAATGTATATTTGGATAAATTCAATGACATTGTGTGAATACGTGTGCATTGTATGAGCTATTGATTGCTTGAGCACTTGTAGAGTATATATATTACATACAAAATATACAGTAGACATAGGGAGAGAGTGAGAGAGAAATGGATAAATTCAATGACATTGTGTGAATACGTGTGCATTGTATGAGCTATTGATTGCTTGAGCACTTGTAGAGTATATATATTACATACAAAATATACAGTAGACATAGGGAGAGAGTGAGAGAGAAAGAGATCGGCGATAGAGTAGAGCGAAGGGAGAGTTGATGTTCGTGAGAGAGAAAGAGCTCTCTCGAGAGAGCCGGAGAGAGAGTGAATTGGGGGAGAGTTTGCGCCAGTGATGTGCTGTTCAATGGGAAGCCAAGGTTAGGATGAGATGTGGTGGTGAGGCGTTACCCTCGAAACTGTGTCAGTCGTTGGCAATGAAGGTCGACACAGAGTTTTCACGGCCACCCGACGCTCCAAACACTAGTTCAAGGTTCGCCTCTTACCTGATGGCCAACCCTTTGCGTTCATATCTTTTCCGCGATGTACTCATGGCATTGGATTCTTCAGTTGCGTCAAGTGTTCAATGGTATGTATGTGTTGTGTCTACCGATCGTGTAGTGCCTGTGCTCTCTCTATGTCGTCAACACATCCCCAACCGACACATCCAATGACGACAAGTGTCGACGAGTGCACTACCAGTGCTCTCTTCGGTCCTTTCTTATTGGTTTATTAATTATGGGCACCAATACTCATACGTGGCCTTTCATACGTACAGAATATTATGTACAGGGTTATTCTGTGTATAAAGTACATGTATGTATGTACAGTATGTGTATGTACTAGATATAACCCGAACACATTTTGTCATTGGCCTCTCCCAATACCCGTACTGTTTCCATATGTAAGACATTGAGTGACTATTGATATACATTTGAATTGATTGAATGTCACATACGTTCAGTTAGTATCCATAGGATTGAACGATAGCATTGAAAATATGTGTATTCCTCGCGAATGTCATTGTAATGGTTGTAATGCGAGACAACAATATTCAGTTTGTCATTGAACTGATCATATAGTCACTAATATTGAGAATTCAATGTTAAATTGCTATTAATATTTACGCCAATTGTCTCTACATTTTTTTCAATGCTAAACACTAGCGCTATATTAATGTATATTTTTTTTCTAAACGTGGAGAATATAGTCACTAATATTGAGAATTCAATGTTAAATTGCTATTAATATTTACGCCAATTGTCTCTACATTTTTTTCAATGCTAAACACTAGCGCTATATTAATGTATATATTTTTTCTAAATGTGGAGTTTAATTATCGCCAATGGGTTTCATAGGGGGGACTCGAGTGTGGGGTATGTGTTGAACAATACATATTTTTTTGGTGAGAAATACCCGATTCTTAATGCATACAGAATACACAATAGAAGTTAATGTGTTTATCATTAATGTACAAAAACAACTTTATTAAGATGGGAAGCGTTCACAATAGAGATTAGGCTCAATTAGACACCACAATGCTATGTAATAGCAAATAATCGCGATGAATCTAAGCGATTTAACACTGTATTAAGCTAAATATAATAAATGAGTGCAATTTGTTTAATCAAATGTCCATTTATTCAAAGCGAATGTGTATTGTGTGTCAATGAGAGACGTTAGGGCAGTGTTAGGGGACGGAGATGTAGGTCACGGGTGACCCAAATGTCGTTTGGCATACAAAGGAGACCATCGATGAACGTTTGGCATCGAAGAGAGACAACCGGTGCTCTCATTTTTGGCGATGCGTTTCATTGTCTGCATTGGATGTGCTGTCGGTTGGGATGAGTCGACTGGAGT